AATACCACCGTGGATGTTCTGCTTCTAAGCTTATCCGCGACTTCTATAAATTTATCTTGCAGAACAGCCCTTCTGCCCAAAAGAAATGATGGAGAAACTTATCACCTAGGGATGTGGATTAATGGAAAAAACAATGATTGTGAATGGTTGAAGGAACGATGATACTCAAGTGACGAGATATTGTTAAATGATAAAAACTTGTATAAAAACTGATGTAAAACAGTATTGGACACACGTGTAAGTGTTCGGCCTTGGTTCTAACTTCATTGTTGCAATAAAGACTGAATTTGGATCCACACCAGTGGCTTCTGACTTTTGATTTGGTGGGGAAGGAAAAACCACAACAATCTATTCATCAAAATCTCTGAATCAGGCATGTGGGGGGGGCACCAGTCCCTTCTGTCTGACAGGGGCGTATCTAGACCTTTTACATTGGAGTGGGGGTGGCAAGGGTGCCTGGTCCTCTGCCCGTTCTGTCTGACGGGGGGGTAACCAGACCTTTTACATTGGAGTGGGGGTGGCAAGGGTGCCTGGTCCTCTGCCCGTTCTGTCTGACGGGGGGGTAACCAGACCTTTTACAGTGGGGTGGAGGTGGCAAGAGTGCCTGGTCCTCTGCCCGTTCTGTCTGACGGGGGGGTAACCAGACCTTTTACAGTGGGGTGGAGGTGGCAAGAGTGCCTGGGCACCTGCCCCTTCTGTGAGGTGGGGGTCGCAAGGGTGCCTGGGCACCTGTACCTTCTGTCCGACGGGGGCGTAGCCAGACATTTTGCACTGGGGTGGGGGAGTAATTATTTAACAAAATAAATACATTTCATTATTTAATCAAATAAATTAATTTTATTTACATTATTCCGCTGAACCAGGGCAGTAACATGATATAATTATATTTTCCAATGTTTTTTGTTTCTGTTATGTCTCCAGTTAAATGATTATTATATACATTGATTGAGTGTCATTCTGTTAGTTATGTTCAGCTGCAGTAATAAAGTGAATTTAACTTAATCCACCAGACTGTGGTTTCATTGTGTGACTCAGTTATGCTTTGGGTGACGCTGAAGCAGGACATTAATAGGACAGAACAGAAAGCCTTTATTGTCATTGTACAGGGAGGAAATACAGTAAATAGGCATAAATATATAAAATGTACATATACAGGGGAGGGGGAAAGCTAACCCCCCCCCCCCCCAAATCATCAGGATTACATTTAGTTACAGGTTAGTCAGAGAGAAAAACTATAAAATTATATTTTTCATGTTTATTCAGCTCCCTTAACACAGACATTTTTGTCAAACATACATTTCAGAGTAAAAAGGATTATAAAGGTTAAGAAGCAGAGATTTTACCTTTTTGCCAGCAGAATGCTGCAACACATCACAGTGATACTGAGGAGTTTCTATCAACATAAATCCCTGGATAGAGGGGCTCAGTGAATGAGGAGGTGAATCTGTAAAGGTGGGTCAGTCCACGAGAAGAGACTCTGTAGAAGGACAGAGCACCAGCCCCCCAGTCCAGATACACTCCTACTCTGCGGGAGCCTGAAGGCTTTATGGGTATGACAGTCAAGTTTTTATTGTGATAGACAAAATAACTGTCAGGATGACAGCTCAGACTACATGACTTGTCATTGGCTCCAAGCCCACAGTCATCACTGAGTCCTTTCCTCTCGATCCCTTTATAAGTCATTCCTATCCGGGCTCCATATCCATCCCACTCAGCCTCCCAGTAACAGCGGCCAGTCAGACTCTCTCTGCACAGAACTTGCCCCCAGCTGTCAAATCTCTCTGGATGATCAGGATATGGCTGCTCTTCCCCCCCTGTCACCTTCCTGTTACCTCCTGACAGAGACAGGCGTCTGTGTGCTGTGTTGGGGTCCAGCGTCAGCTGGCAGGAGTCTGTAGGCAGAAAGAAGAATTATTATCAGGCAGCCTGTACTTTATGTTTCTGTACAATATAAAAACAGAACAGCTTCCCCGAACCAATCAGGAAGTGAAGTTTATGAAATAGCTCAGGAAATGTAAGACGGTGTGCGACGCCGGCGGAAAGAACCGCCAAAATGCGGCACGAGCTAAACTAACAGCTTAATTATGGATAAATAAAATTACAAAGCAGTGACATTCATCAGACACATTCATCACAACCATATTTGCCACAAAACGGCACCTGAGATCAATTCTTGTCACGCCCAGCTCCGTCCGATCCTAATGTGTGCCACGCCCACCTCGTTATCTCGTGTTCATCCCTGATTGTTCTCACCTGTTGCCTGTTCTGTTTGTCTAGTCTTTTGTATTTAGTCCGTGTCTCAGTTAGTTTCCCCAGATCCGTCATTGTAGTGTCCGTAGATGTCCGTGCCTGTCCGTCTTTCGCCTAATAAACCCCGTTTACCTGACTTCCTGGCTGCTCTCGCCTGCTTCCACGGCTCGCCTGCCGTCCGAACGTGACAATACTAAAGTCAGTGTCTTTCCCTCTAACCGCTAAAGCCGGTGCGTTCGGCTTGAAAATGGCCATTAATAACAGAATATTTAAGTAGTATTATTAATAGGGCTGTCAAAATTAACGAGTTAACGCGGATTAATCCATCATCATGATTAATCTGATTTTTAACGCAATTAACTCATCTGCAGCGTAGAATGCCTCAAAATCCCTGAAATGTCTCTCTCAACCCTTTTCGGGCAGTTTTGGTGTGTTCTATTTGCCCTTGGAACTCGTATTCCGAGACTCCGAGTCGGATTCCAAGTTTTGAAGCCGGAAGTGACAACATGTGCGCTCCCGTTTCTCGCAGATCCGAGAAATATTGCTGCATTCCATTTCCCTCGGGATCCGATTTTCGGATTCCGATATTACGTCACATCCGCTAAAAACTCGGGAAAACCGAGTCGGATATGTTCCATTTGCCACAGAAGTAGCAATACCATGGACTCATATGGAAAAAGCAAGATTTTTTGCTTAGCCGTACAACTTGTCGGATTTAAGGTACCTCAGTTTAAATGGCATTTATCTTCGTTCACTTACAATTAGCCCAAACTTACTGCGTGCATGACTCTAGATGCAGCGCTGCTGCTGCGAGGCGTGAGCAGGCGCAGGCACGTGGTCGCTATAATCTGTTAACATGGGCACCGAAATGAAATTCGATATTTTCTGCCGCACATCCAGTGTGTCCGGGACACAAATTTGGGAAATCTTATTAATATTCATGAGCGAAGCAATGCATCATTGGCTGGCTCATTAATATTTATGAGAGGATCACTACCTGATTGGCCAATGAACATCGACATGTGGTGCCTGTTTTTTCTAAGGCAGGGGTGTCCAAATCCAGTCCTGGGGTGCTGGAGCCCAGCACGACGAGTCCAGACAATATGAGCAGCTATAAAGTATTTGTAAAAAATATTTTTAAAAATGACTAAATTAATTGATAGTGTTTTTGGTGATGATTTTGATGTGTTAATTTTCTCATTTGGATGTTGTCTAAAATGACACAAACAGAAACTCACCTAAACACAAACATGGAAGTCCATCTACACACAATGCAAAAAGCCACACTAATCACAACAATTGTGTGAATACAACCATAACATAGTATTAATGGTATTATTTAAAAAAAAAAAAACATGCAAACACACTTACATTTCTGTAAGCCTGGTCTGGTCCTGCACTCTCCACTGTGGTCCACACTATAGGAGAAGCAGAATGACATAGTGCTGCTGTATCCATTTATTTATTGGTGCCTCTTCTTCACGTACATGCATACTGTAAGTATCTCTAGAGTGTCAGACACACTCTGTACTCACTTCATCTCCAGTTTACAGCTGTGATCCTCCAGTACAGCAGAGAGCAGCTTCACTCCTGAGTCTCCTGGGTGATTGTAGCTCAGATCCAGCTCTCTCAGGTGTGAGGGGTTTGACCTCAGAGCTAAAGCCAGGGAAGAACAGCCTTCTTCTGTGACTCTACAGCCTGACAGCCTGCAGAGAGACAGACAAAGACTCCCCAATAAATAACATCACTTCACCATTACAAGCATTACTTTTAAGTAAAAGTGACTCCTCTAATAAATATTCAATAATCACGTGAAATTAACAATACTTTCCGAATATTTTATAAGAAAACTGAGAACAAAGACCAGATCCAATTGATATAGAATCATTTTAAATAATCTAGACTTACTTATATTAACCAATGAAATGGCAGATGACCTTGATGCACCATTAACATCAGAATAACTCCATAAGGTCCTCAATCAAATAATACATCCCAAAAACATTTTTGGGATGTATTATCTCCACTCTTCAGTAGACTGATAGAGAAATTAAACATACATCACAAATCCTATCACATATGAGCACAGCGACCATTACACTGTTATTGAAACCTGATAAAGACCCAACACAACCCTCCAGTTACCGGCCATTACAGTGTTATTGAAACATGATAAAGACCCAACACAAACCTCCAGTTACCGGCCATTACAGTGTTATTGAAACATGATAAAGACCCAAAACAGCCCTCCAGTTACCCGCCAATCTCACTAATGAATACAGACTTGAAAATCATTACAAAAGCTCTCACCACTCGGTGAGAGACAGTCATTCCTACTATAATCCATCCTGATCAGACAGACATCAAGACAAGACATGTCTCAGACAACATCCATAGATTATTTAATTTAGTCAATATTGCTCAGCATGGAGTAACATGGGACCGCCGAGAAGGACAGCAGCACACTAGGAGAGCTCCTGACAGACCATCAATTAATCTCATTATTCGGTAACACACACTTGATTTTTAGGGTAAACTCGGTGCATTATATCGCAGTTAAATACTTTACTACCGATAGCGTTAATTAGCGGTGGAATGTCGAGCAGTGCCAAAGCAAACTTTTTTCAAAGCATGAGCAAGTGAAGCAAGCCCTTAAAGAGAAACAACATGGCTGACAGCGACGAGCCTACTGAAAGTACGAGTGATAACAAAGCGATGGAGGAGATAAGGAACAAGAATGCAACGCTGCAGTGGACGCTGTCGTGATTAAAGAGACAACAAAAGAGCTGAAAGACGCAGTGGACAACATGCAAGTAAGTATCGGATATGGGATATGGAGGACGTAAACACTCGAATGGAGAAAGACGTAGAGAAACACAACAAGAAGTTAGAGACTCTATGGACACGAGTGAAAGACCTTGAAAACCAGAGCAGGAGAAGTAACATAAGGCTGGTGGGACTGAAAGAAAACAAAGAGCAGATGGGCAAAGTGATGCAGTACAGTATGTGGAAAGAATCAAATCGGAGGGACTTGGCCTCACCGGCCAGGAATTTGAGACTGAAGGTGCACATTGCTCTATGGCTCTATGGAACAGACAAGCCACCGAGGACCATTTTGATTTTCTTCCTGCACTTAACAGCCCGAGACAGAGTGTTACAGGTGTCCAAGGAGAAACGAGGGATCAACTGGGAGGACTGTAAGCTGTCCTTCTTCGAGTGATCATAGTGCAGTGGAGCTACATATAGACTTACAGACAGACAGAGAGAGAAAGGGCAAGTAGAGGCTAAATACCAGGCTATTGCAAGATGAGGTGTTTAGCAACACAGTATTAGAGGAATTTAAATCCTTTTTTGAAATCAATACTGGATCCACACCAAAAATATCCTTTTTGGGAAGCATCAAAAGTGTACACATGAGGGAAAATTATAACTCAATCCTCGAAAATTAAGAAAGAGAATGCCATGAAAGTGACAAAGTTAGAAAAGGAGATGTGTAACTTGGAAAATGATTTTGCAACACATAACACTGATAAGCTACACCAAACTATCTGTGATCATACATATCCGTTACACGAGATATATAACAAAAAAGCAGAATATACCTTATTTAGACTGAAATTATTTAGACTGAAACTTTTATGAAGGTGGGGAAAAAAGCAGCAGATTATTAGCCAGGCAACTGAAACATCAGGATATCTCTAACAATATTCCAATGATTAAGATGGGAAGTGGAGTGGTTACATCATCGAAAGAAATCAATAAGGTATTTGAAAATTTCTACAAAGATCTGTATACATCTGACTGCACACCTACCACAGAAGAGGTAGAGAAGGTTTTCTCAAACCTCCAACTACCCACTATCTCAGAGGAGCAAAGAGCAAGGCTGGATGCTCCTATAACAGAGGATGGGATAAGAAACACAATTCTATCCATGAAAAACGGGAAGTCACTTGGACTGGAAGGCTTCCCGATTGAATATTATAAAAAATATATTGACATATTAACTCCCATTTTACATAAGGTATACAGTGGTACCTCAGAACTCGAAATTAATCCGTTAAGAACTCCGGACCGAATCCTAAAAAGTTCGAGTTCTGATCGAATCTTCCCCATAAGAAATAATGGAAAACCAATTAATATGTTCCCGCCCCCAAAAAATGACACTGAAATATGTTTTTTTTTTAGCATTTAAACATAAAATGAACCAGACAAAACAAGAAAAGCATATACTGTACATATACTGCATGCACATTTATCAAAACAGTAATTTTTAAAGGAAGAAAATAAATGTATCCAAACAATGTGTAAAGTAAAAAAAAAACAATGTGTCCTGCCCAGATTGTCCGCTCCTTCCGTGTGCCACGCCCCCTCGTTAACCCCGTGTGGAATCCCCATGTGATCAGCTGTTTCTGGTTGTTGTCATTAGTCCTCTGTATTTCGTCCGTGTTTCAGTTTGTTTCGTCTGCGCCTTTGTCTCCGTTCAGTCCCCGCTGGGCATGACAATATTATTATAATTAAATGTACTAATTAATTAATATTAAAATAATGAATAAGAAATCTTTATTTTAAAAAGTATTTTATTATATAATAATAATTACTGTTACTATCATTGTCTAAATGTATTTTTATTGTCTAAATACATGTATTCAGCTAGTGTAAACATGCATGATCCTATCACAGCGAATGCAAGGCTGAGACTGAAGCGTTACCCTTTGTTTCCGCTGAGAGACGTGCAGCGTGACTCATTTCCCCACGTGTACAAGTTATCTTAGGTTAGCGTTCACGGTTTAACTTCTGAGATTCAGATTGAGTTCTAGGTATTTTTTTTTTCGAACTGGTTTGTTCGACTTTTAAGAAATTCGAGTTCTAATGAGTTCGAGAAATGAGGTACCACTGTATTTGGAAGTATTTACAATAGGTTCTTTACCTAACACATTTAATGATGCCTTAATTACTCTTATCCCTAAAAAATATAGAGATACAGCACACCCATCTAACCTTAGACCTGTAAGCCTGCTGGGGGTAGACTGTAAAATACTGACAAAGACACTGGCGTCCCAAAAATGCCTTTATTTGAGATAGGACGCAACCCATTAAAAAAGGGGGTTCATTATTTGTCTCTCTGCTGCTCACATGATCTCCAGTCCTGGACTGGACATGACGTTATGCAAAGTATAAGATCGAGGTATTATTATTATCATTGTTGTTTATAATTATTATAGTATTATTATAATAATTCCTATAATTATATATGCACTTGAATATATGTGTGTATATAATGTTATAATAATTTTATATATACATTTTAGCATTGTAATTATTATTATTATTACTAATAATAAACCATAATAGTGTATTATAATAATATAGGATATTATTATTATTATTATTATTATTATTATTATTATCTCCACTAAGATTATATCGTATCACTCTGTATAACGTGGGATATACCACCACTAGGGGGTTAGGGAGGTTAGAATACAAATAATAATAATAATAATAATACTGAAATAAAGTAGAAGATAAGAATGAAATGTAGTAAGATAAAATGTAAAGATATAAAATATAAACTGTAATAATAATAGAATATAAAGATAAAATATAGAATATGAAGAGAGATAAGAATAAAAAATAGAAATTAAAATATGTACAAATAGAATAAAAAGTGCAATGTGCAATTAGCAGCAACAATGTCCTAATATTATTATCGGTGTACAGTGCAGTGTAGTGCAGTACAGTGTGTGTATGTATGTATGTGTGTGTGGGAAAGGGGGGGGCAGTGATCTGAGTCCAGTCCTAGGTGGTGTTCTGGTTCAGAACCCGAACAGCCTGAGGGAAGAAGCTCCTCCTCATTCTCTCAGTGTTGGTCTTGAGGGAGCGAAGACGCTTCCCTGACCTCAACAGAAAGAAGAGTCCATTGTTGGGGTGGCTGAGGTCTTTCATTATCTTCCTGGCTTTGGTCCAGCTCTGCTTGGTGTAGATGGACTGCAGGTCAGGGAGCTCAGTGCGAATGATGTGTTCGGCCGCTTGTACCACTCTTTGGAGAGCCCATCTGTCCTGCTTGGTGCTATTCCCAAACCAAGTGCAGATATTTCCCGTCAGGATGCTCTCGATGGTGCAGGAGTAAAAGTTCCTCAGCACCCTCGGTGGTAGGTGGAAGTCTCTGATGTGTCTGTTGGGGCTTCTTTACCTGGACATTGATGTGGCAGGACCATGACAGGTCCGGTGAGATGTGAACACCTAGGTACTGGAAGCTGTCCACTCTCTCCACTGGCATCCCACTGATGTGAAGGAGCTGGTAGCTCCTCACCTGCTTGGTGCTGAAGTCCAGCTCCTTTGTCTTGCTGACATTAAGGAGGAGGTTGTTCTTCTGGCACCAGTTCTCCAGGTTTTTAATCTCCTCCTTCTCAATGTT